GAATTAAAAAAGACTTTTCAAACTGCAGGCGAAAAGTGTTTTAAATTTCTCTATTTTGACCGTTATTATAGCTTCCAATCAGGTGCCAAGATTCGAGATAAAAATCATTTCACTAAAAAAAAAAAAAAAGTGGCGTGATACAGGATCGGGAAATTCGATGATCTCATTGTAATTGTACGATACTGTACGTACGTACGTATAATAAAAATGGTATAACAGATAATAACCGTAGTACTGTACGTATACGTAATAATTCTGTTAATGAAATTTTCATAGAAATGAGCGAGTACGTGACAAATCTTCTAAATAATATACAGTAATAAGTCCGAAGGAATTTGATTGGCTGATTGAAACAATGAACACAGATCACGGATCAGTCCGACCAGACATAATTTGCACAAAATTCTACTCTGTTTGATATTTTAATTTTTATGTAAAAAAAAATGTCGGATCAGAGCGTGGTTACAGGTAAATACTTGTGGTCATCGCAAGATTATCGAATTAAATTGTTAAGTAGCGTTTGCCATATACAGGTGAAGCTTTAAGCAGACGCGCCTACATTGGTGGTCTTTCTAGATACATAACCGAAAACGATCTTAAAGATCGTTTTGGTTCCTTTGGTGTAATATCCAAAATAGATATTATACGCGATTCGAACACAGGTGAAAAACACTTGTAAATTCTTTGAGAAAAAACTTTATATTATGAAACATGGGCTTCATCCTTCTGGTTGGGTAGTCTATGGTCGTGTTGCCGGTGATTCCGCATCCCGTTACCTATTCCAGAATTTGTCATGTGCAACTGCCAATCGTCGTCTAGGGCAAATTACTGGACAATTGGCTCCATATCAAGCAACCGTTTCTGTTGACCCTGCAAGTCAAAAAGTGAACTTGGAAATTTCTTGGAGTCAACAAAAAGATGGTATAAGTCAGTATACTCCAGCTCAAACTTCTCAAGCTTCACCAAGCCAGGAACCGGCTCCAGAGAAGAAAGCAGAGGTACCACGTGAGAAGAAGGAATATACCGCTGAAGAAGTTGCTAAACATAATAAAGAAAACGGTTAGTATTATATTACGAGTCCTTTAGGATAATTTCAACTTTTTATTGATAATTAATAAATTCATTATTTTATATATAAATCTTTTGGCGCAAAACCTTTTTTATTGGATCTTTCACAACGTGAGTGTTTTAATTCCTTTTTTTCTTTGATTTACAATATTCTTTTTGGTTGGATTCATTCTTCTAATAATACTCACCTTTTCTTGTTTGGTCAATAGCCAGACTGTTGGGTAATAGTTAATGGTGAAGTTTTAAACGTCACCAATTTTCTTCCAGGTAAATCTTGTTAGAATTTGATGTCTCGTTTGTCTTTAAGTAACTATATATTTACACATTCTGTTATATTAATTTAGATCACCCTGGTGGTAAAAAAGCCATTCTAATTTATGCTGGAAAGGATGCTACTGAAGAGGTGGAAAAATCATTTCTTTTGATTTATTCGTTTTTAAAGAAAACTATAATTAATTTAATTATTTTTTATAGTTCAATATGTTGCATGAAAAAAATGTAGTGCAGAAGTATTCACCAGAAGTAAGTACAAACTTTTTAATTACAACATCTATAATTTCTATTTACATTTTCTTTTTTCATTTTGCATTAAAAAGTCCATAATCGGAAGCTTGAAGAAGTAATGGAATTTAACCACGAGAATCATATGTTTTTACATTTAAAAACTACTTAGCTTAATGTTTTTTCTTTTTTTAAACTTTACTATGATTGATATTTATTATTATTTACTGCGAGTAATAAAAGACTATTCAGTATGTAAAATCATTCTGAACTATGTTAATAAATTACTTTTATACTGGACTCGATACACAAAGCCAAATTTAACAATATGTAGAATATTTTTTGATACAATCAATTCCGTCCAATACATCACGACCAAGAGAGATTACTAATAATTTGCGTTTATATGCTATATAATAATAAATTTTGAATTTATTTGAAGTGTTTGAAACTGTTTTATAATCAAGAAAAAAAAAAATGTAAATAGAAATTATAGATGTTGTAATTAAAAAGTTTGTACTTACTTCTGGTGAATACT